ATTCTTCGAGATTGGGGTAATCAGAGTTTTTTTATGTTTCGCTGAATTCATCTACATGAAGTGTCTTTTATCTCATAAATAAAATTATTATACCTTTTGATATTCTTTCGTTTGAGGTTGTATGACAAATTATTAGAAGAAGCTTATAAAATACTTGTCATATCAAAAATGAGACTTTTAGCCATTCGAACAATATTCGTGATGTGTTAGGATATGTGCTGGTTGATCACCTAATGATTGACAGTAATAAACTCTGGTTTTTAATTCTAATCAAACTGTTTCAGCTATTTACTTAAATGATACATGATGTTGAAAATAATATTAGATAATCAGAGTAAGTGGAAGTAGTCACTAAATCAATTTATTCTAGCTTTTCTGGATTTGATAGTGTCGAGAAGAAATTTAATCTGTTACTCAATAAAATTAATAATTATAAAATAGTTATAATTGGTTATTATTATTTCAGGATGTATATAAAAGTCAATTATTTTTACAGTAATTAGTATTTTGATAATAATGAGCTCTAGTTAGTATGTAATTAGTAGCTTATATTCAAGTTATTTTAATATAAATTATTTGTAATATCCCAATAAGTAGAGAAACTAACTTTTTCCGAGAAGTTGCTTACTACTGAGTCCATAAATGTTAGAAAATGTAAAAATTTAGTTTTTTTTACACATTGGAATATTACAAATATTTTGATTAATAACAATATACCCAATGCTCAATTTATTTGAAATTATCAAATCAAATCTTTGTTATAACACCTACCAATTATATTTAATTTGTTTGAACATAACTACAATCAGAGGTCATTTGTTTCTCAGTATACTATATCTTCATATATTCGGGGAAGAAAGCAGTGTTCATCTAGACATTTGGAGAACGTACTTCAACAATATTTAAACCAATCACAGTATTTTCAATTCTTTTAATGCTTTCAACATTTTTCTTTAGGGACGAAGAAAGTTATCACAGTCGTTTTAATGTAAGCCCTTTACTACACTGGTCTATTTGTGATTTTTTCATTTTATTAATCATAAGCTTAGTTTACTAACAATTGGTACCATATATTACTTATAGTATATGAGTGTGACATCGTCAAGTAAATGATTCTGAAAGCAGAATCGAAGTTATTTATAAGTTTGTATAGATTTTTAGTCTATATGTATGCCACATGTTCGGTCATTTTTCAACTTAATATTTAGTCAGCACGCTTACAAAAAATCAATTTTCTGTTCTGAGATTTCGTGATTTTCTTTCCTCCATTTCAGACGTTTTTTGTTAGTTACTTCCACTCATTTAATACTTTCTTAATTGCCTGCACCCAAAAAAGTGTCTATATTACCCTATCTTTCAGAAGTGACCCAAATAATCTTATGTTGAGATGAGGACTTAAACTAGATATCAATAAGACGTTTTACGCAGTCCGACTCATTACTATCGAAAAATCAAGGTCAATGTTTCACGAAACACACAAACAGCGTGCTAACGATTGTCACATTCCCTTCAGTCTGTCAATTTACATGTATGGGCCGAAATACATACATAGGAGGAGCAGTCATGATTTGTAAATAAGACTGGCTGAACACAAGCATAAATAGCTACAAAGTCAAATGAATTCCAATAGTCAGATAAGATCACAGTATAGACGAATATCTTTCTCTTAGTAAAAAGAGTCCGGTAATAAGATAAATATGAAGTAGGGTTATTCAATATTATCCATGGGTGTCTAACAAGATTTATGGAAACTTTGGCTATACTAAAACTGAAATTCTCTTTACGTGTTCTAAAACAATTTGTTATTACCCTTAACCTACTCCAATAATACTGATTAATTATCCAGCGTGGTTTCTGCATTACGTACTTTATCATTATCTTTGTTTCCCTCACCTTTTAATTTTTGTAGTTGACCTTTAGATTATATATTGCCTCAACAAGTATATGTGTGATCAGGTTTTTCGAAATGTATTTTACACTTATGTCACATAATTCTGATAAACTTCATTTTTTCATTGCATTTGTTTTACGTTACAATTAGAACAGTTATTTATTGTACAGAGTAACGGATTAAAAAATCCAAAATTAATGTGCTTATTTACTTACATAGAACTCTTTGAGTAGGAATTATTACATTTCTAGTTCTGTTTCAATCGATTAAACTACTAGAAATGTCATTGATATAATAAATCACAACTGGTTGTTTAATTACATTATTGTCATTCGACAAACCTATAAATTTAGATGGTAAATCTTAAAATCATTCATTATTTTCTTAGAATATTGATTAATATTATTACTTTACTTGGTTAAATATTTATTATGCAATAAGCAACTATGTTATAATTTCTAGTAAAAATGCTTATATTTATATAATTTAATTAAACAAATATACTTTATTTAAGTAGATTAAGTGAACAGGTGTAGCTATTTGTATTAAAATAAAGATAAATTGTTTTGTATTGTAATAAATAATATCACTTGTTAACTATTTTAACATGACTTTCTCTATTGGTTCAACCAAATATAACTTTGATTAGAAATAGAAAACATAGAATATTATTTAGTGTTTAACTATCATGTATTATGTACATATATTATGCAATCATATATCTCTTTGTTGTTTTATTGGTGAAAATTACATTTTACTTACAATTATCTTATATATGTTTAAGTTTATTCTTAAAAATGTGTATCTATTACAATGAAGATTAACTTCACAACATATTATCCATCGGTAATTAGAAAATTCAGTTTTCATTTCGAAAATTCATTTTCATAATGAATTCATGAAGATAGTATTATAAATTCAAGAATCATTGTCCTCATGCTTTTAAACTTTTGTAAGGTATTGTTTTACAGCTATTATTATATTTATAAAATTATGTAGATTTTTAATAAAACATGAAATGTTGATTAAGAATATATATTTGTTATGTTATATCTTAGATCATCTACAAAACAAAATGTTTTAATTTTCATGTAAAATTAACCCATGACTTAATGGTATTATTGAAGCAATCCGGTTAAGATGGAAAGATACCAAGAAAATAGTTAATTTTAAACTTTTACAGGTGATATTATTAGCTTGTTTTTAATTTTGCCTACCCATGTATTTCGTTTGTTTACAATAAAACATGTGAATTTTTACTAAAATCACCTTTTACAATAAATATTTCCTGTTTTCATTTCATTCAGTAAACTAAATTGATAATCAGTCTTTTCAACTTTAAAATTTCTTTTGAAAAAAGGTTGAAACAAATAATTATTTCAGAAGGAGTTTTGTGGATATTATAGTATTTGACATCATAAGTCAATTGAAGCTAGACCACCGTGGAGAACCTGGAGGCGCTGGATGGCCGTTTCGTCCTAGTTGGATGCTGGCTCAGTAGTCTGAAAGTTAACTGTTTGTGCATAAAACCGACAGATCCTGGGTTCGAATCTCGCGAGGCGTGATCGTGAATGTGCATTGTTGAGGTGTCCCATACTAGAATGAAATGGCCGTCCAGGGCTCCCATATTCTCTATGGTGGTCTAGCTTCAGTCGACTCATGATCTCAATTATTAAAATAATAATAGTTTATAATTTATTATTTTCTCGTATATAATTCATTTAATCAACTGAAAGTTTTTATATCGTATAGACTTGAATACGAAAACCGTTTAATATATTATTTTTTTACTTTTTCAAAATTTACTTATTCGAAAAGTAAGTGCAGAATTGTAGCGTATGCTAAATATGAAAAGAATAAAATAGGTCTATGGTTAATATTGAAAACCTTTCTTAAGTATGGTATTGATAATATCACATTCTGAAATTTACGGTTATCTTATAAAGTGATAGAGCAATGTTTCAGTCAATAAGCTTTGATTTTGTTTTTCAAATATTTATAGTCTATCAACATTTTATGTGCAAAGTTAGTTGCAAAATCATTTAAACGAGCTGTATTCTTCTAACATTGCATAACTCTTTATTATTGTACTGTAGAAGTTTTATAAAACATTTATTCCGTATTGAAAATATTTTAAATTACGGTTGGCAAAATATTATGAGATATTGGTTCATTTATATTTATTGTTCATTTATTTGAACATATAAACATAGGTACAAGGAGGCAATAAATACATATGCGCCATACAATAACAATGAAGTCAGTAGTAGTTATCATTGGTCTGTGTGAGGGCTGTGATACTGCCCGGGTGCCCAGACCGAAGCAGGTGATTTCCTTATCGGGCCTCAACTGGGGCCTCTGACCTGAAGGTCCAATCCATAAGGCAGTGGAGCGAATTCAGGAGATAAAATCCCATGGTAATCGTTGATCAACGATTGGTTCATACGCCATTCGTGCCTTCAGGATCCTGTAGCTCATGTACACCATTGGTTTGGACTCAGGGTTTTCCAACTCCCCTAGGTGGATCCATAGTATCCACTAACCCAGTTCAAGCTCCGGATATTCATTTTTCGTCCTCTCAACTCCTTAAACAACACCCCGCCACGAGAAGGGAGTGAGTAGGACTTACCTGACAGTGAGTGTATACGCGTAGCCATGTGAGAGCAGACTATCCTAATCGTCAGCCGTACTAGGGCATTAGAGAACAAAAGTGTGGTTCGTCCCGAGTCCAATACTTTATCACTTATTATTATTAATCTATTTTAGTTGAAAAAATTATTTCATCCGTTTCATCGTAAAGCATTCACCTACTGGTAGTTAGATGTTAGTGATTTAATTAACGATCAAATGCATAGCTTTTATATGTCTCATTACAACTAAAGATTCATTGTTTCTAGTAAACGGGTTAATAATTAAGATAATGCTAGATTATGATGATAGTTTGTCAAGTGTTTCCAGATTATATTTTATACAAAGATTTAAAACGAGTAAGTCAGAATAATGGGATTAATTGAAAACCATAATTGTACTGTACTTATCGTGCCACGTTTTTCCATAAAAGATAATCACGTTTTCTATTTCTTATTGAAAATCTACTTCTTTATTTTAGGTATTTGCAAAATCATTACAGCTGAGTAAAATTGAAGTAAATTATCCCACTATCTTGATGTTATTAAATAGAAAATATCCATCGTTCACTAACTGGATTGGTTGTCTATTCACGTAATGAGCAGAACTAAATGAAATAATTCTTTTTACAAAAGTTTTGCATTCCCAATTAGAAGACATGGTGATACAATCATATACTGGTGTATAAATCCCCGTGATATCTGCTCCAAATTACTGTGGTCGTAGAAAATCTTTCAGATATCTGTAATACATTAAAACGAGAAATTCACTTTTATGCACTCACCAATACGAAAACTGGCAGTAATTATAAAGAAATATTGTGCCGAACTTATTTACCCTTTTCATTCTCCAACTACCTCAATAGCGTTCGCAACGACTCATATAGTCATATACATAGTTGATTTCGTCTACATCAGTCTTTCCACTCATGTTTTTTGAAAATATTTCACAATAATTCACTCAGATGGAAATAACAACAAGTCACTGTCTGTAATACAACACTTTCATTCCAATGAATATTATGTCTGACTAGAACATGAATTTCTTTAACACACACTATTATTTGTGTTGTGATGGACGGTGTCCGAAATTTGATAGTGATAGTACTCGCTAACCTCCAACTGATTACTTGAGTGAGAACACGAGAGTAAGCGAGAAAGTGTACTGTACTATCGAATAAAAATGCACAAATACTCATTTATATATATACCAATGTATCTTTAGGAAATTGACATACTAACCCCAATGAAATGCACTTGACCTTTAGGTCATTTATGACTGCCATCGATTGACTGTTTTGTTACTTTAGATTGTCTCTCCATATCAATTTATGTACAGAAATAATTTAATTTTGAATTTTAATTGTAAAGTATTTTATTATTTAAACGATTAGGTGTTCTGCTGAAAAATTCTCTTTTCTTTGATCAGTGTTTTTCTCTCTCTCTCACTCTCTCTTTCTTATCCATGAAAACTATATATATAAATATACCTTTTTAAAAAAGTAGTATCTCTGTCAGTTGTATCATTCTTTACATTTTAGTTTACTGTTAAATATTTGTTCTTTTATTCTTTTTTTCATTTTTTCATTTTAATTTTGTGACAATAATGCGAATTCTAACAGATACGACGAAATTATCGCATAATAAATACTAAACATAATTCAAGATATTTAAATCAATTATCAAGTAGAATTATTATGTTACTTATTAAAATTTTGATTCATTAATATGAATGATAAATACAAATAAGAAGAAAATTAGATTATTATAGTATTATATGATATTTGATATATATAATGTATTATGAAACATAGAAGACTAAATAAATTTTATTCGTCTGAAGTATATGAAGTTTTAAAAATATTCTTTTCATGTTAATTCTATTAATCTATAAACAAACAAAAAACATATTCATGTATATAGATATTTCTATTTGAGATCTTTTTTTAATTCTTTCATTCTTCTATTATTCATCTTTATATCGATAATGTTTATATATCCGTTACTATCTTATAAATTATTATCTTTATATTAGTTAAATACTACTAATAAAGATGTATCTATCATTCAATATTTTCTTTCATCTTATAATAACTGATATTTTACGGTTATATGTTGTCTAATTAAATATGAATCAAGTATAAATTCATATAAGATAAAAGTAATAATATCTGTTACATATTGTATAACAAATCAGATAAATCTATAAAATGTACCACCATTACCACCCCACCCCCCCTAGATATTTTTTACAATAATCTATATAAATGAATAAAAAGTTTAACAATTCAATCTTTACTTCTTGTTTAAATTTTGTTCTTATCATAAATGATAAAAAGAAATTTATTCATTTAATATCAGTCAATCATAATCAATATAAATTGTGGTGGTCGGTATTCGATATAATCCTTAACTTCGTATACAATTCGTCTTGCTAACCGTTCTGTACAACGCCCCACGGTATAATAATCAGAAGGCAAAATACGAAGTGTTGATTACGTTTATTGCGAGACCACACACATATATCCAAATGTACAGATGCGTCAAACAAGCATAGGAGAGTTGTGCCGAAAGGCAAGCAAGCGAGCGAGCGAGAGCGAGAACGTGACGAGAGCGTGTGAGTGAGTGAGTAAGTGTTGAACATGAACAACGTGGACATATATATACCATGTGAAATGAATGAGTAAGCGAATTGATTAAGCGGTTAGTAGTAAAACTAGCAGAGTGAATAAATGCGTAGGCAGTAAACAATATTCAAGCATACGTATTTCATACAAACACAAAATAATAAGGGTACAATAAATTGTTATAGTGTGGATGACTTTGTCCGCTAAATAAGTTAACAAAAGGGCTTAACTGAGTTAAATGAGAATAAACCCATTTGCACGTGAGTCGCTATAAAATCATGTTTTAATTCATGTTACCTTTCTATATTATTATACATATCAATTGTGTCATATTTCAATGTAAATAGTTTTTTTTAAATTTATTTCTAGTACATTCATTTGAAGAAAGTTAATTTATATTAGAATGATATACTTACGTTAAGTATAATCAAGATTTAAGTTATATAGCATTTGAACAATTGAAATATGTTGTTTCAAACGATCAAATGTCATGATTCATCTGTAATGAACAAAGTGTAAATTTAAGGATAATTTTTTTAAAATGCAAGATTTATAATTCATAAAGAATTGTAATAACATCAAGTAAGATATGATGGATAGTGACTAGCCATGGAATTCAGGATGCGCGTTTCGTCCTATTTCGGATTCGTCAGCTGGATGTACCTGCATCTCAGAGTTGATGTTCACTCTGGGACTCGAACCCAGTACCATTCACTTCAAACGCCATCGTTAGCCACTATCCACCATTGCTTACAAAAAAGCTTGTGAATTCAGGCAATATCAAGGCATACGCACAGTATGCACATATGCCAATAACAGACTAACCAATCGCCATTATAAACCTCAATGGGAAGATACAAGCCAAACAATATCAAGTGAATCAAGTAAGATAATTCAAAATGAATGTACCGAAATTGAATATATAATGAAAGTAAGAAATACGTCTATTTTTGTGTTTGAAAATTGACAAGAAACAGCTTGACATATCAAATGATATGTTTGATGATTCGTTACTTTGTCTATGGTTCACTTAAAAATTTCTTCTTGCTGTCAAGTATTTTTTTAGTCAAAACACTAAGTAACCTTCATTTTCTCGTTACTCTACGTTATAGGTATACGTCTATTGAAAAAAGCCCAAGTTTTTAACAATATAAACTACGTTGATCTATTCATTAAAGCTATGTTAAAAATCTGGAATGAATTTTGATTGAATATAATTTATTTTTATTTTTCATAATCCTAGGATATTGAACTTGTTTATTTTCCTGAATTTCCTGGTTAATAGATGTTGTGATAAGTATTTTAGCCTGGATGAAGTTGCATACATTAACACTGATGGTTTATAACTTTGGCGCATAATATATATATATATATATATATATATATATATATTTATATATATATATATATATATATATATATATATATATATATATATATATATATATATATATATGCTTTTGGGTTACTTCACAAACTTGAGCAAAGCAGGAAGAGCGATATTTGAAGAATACGATTAACCTACTGTATTTCCTTTTTACTCTTCATCTATACAAAAGCTAATATGATTATCGTTTCTAAATATTAACGATAGTAATGACATCAGTGATATTTTATTAGCGATGTACCGTCCTTTAGGATCTGTCCTTGATGATATATTTGTTAGAAACTTGAATTGAACAGAATTATTATCTATCGTCAAGATGACTGTACTGGAATTCGTCAAGTGCACTTACATCGACAGCGATTTCCGAGTAGATGGTGTTTAAACTTTCAGAGATTTTCCATTCAAAGCTATCAAAATGGGTTGATAAAAAATCTTTTAAACACAGGAGAAAAGTTATATTCACCAGGAAAGCTCAAGTAGATGTATACCCTTCTTAATGATTATCTGCATTAAAATCAATGCACTTAATCATTCGTAAAGAAATGTAATATCGAACGCCGAAATAAGATGTATGATTGTGAACCTAAAATAAGAAAGCTATTACTCTAGTATTATTCAAAGATCGATAAATAGTGAATGAGCTTTGTTGAAAATTGAAAACAGCTCTTAAAAACATATTCTCCACTGACAATCTGAATCCATTAGACACAATATTGCTCAATGACAAAGACATAAGTAGATGAAACTACTCTAATTTCATATATACAAAAAAGCATGAACATTAGAAAGACAATCAGGTGGACTTCTGTTCATTTCAGTGATAATATTCCAAATAACCTACGCCTTTGAAGAGGACTTTGTTTATGCAGTTCGGTAGCACCTCACCTAATAAAAATTGGCACAATATGCATTCAGCGAATTATTTAAAATTTATCTATTAACAACTTGAATCCTCGTTACTTAATTTTCCAGAAGCCGTAGCTACTAAATAATTTAAAACTTACATTCAAATTCAAAGAGTCAGAAGTTAACTGTAAGCTGCCTTGGTAACATTTTGAAATTTCTTTTCTCCATTTTACGGTAGTCATAATCCATTGAGTCGGGATTACACTTTCTCTTTCCTTTCCCAACTTCCAAACATTTTTTTATATCAGACGATAAAATTATCACAATATTTTAGGACCAACATCTAATCAATTCTAAAAAGAACTCAGTTTTAGAAGTACATTAGGCACAACTCATCATAATCTACAAACATAGCCGTCTCGACTTCATATATATATAGAGTTAAACTTATGTGTTCTTATTTTTCACTCATTCTGAGTATCAGTCTGTTTATGTGTAATACGTTAGACTTTTAAATTCCTAGGTGTAACTTAGAAATGGGTTTCAACTTCTTCAGATAAGATAGAAATTAGTTAGCATTAGTTATCACAAGGTATTTTAGGTATGACTCGAATACGTGAAAGTATGGTTGTCGATCGATGTATATCACCATTACCACGGTTTATCAACTCTGAAAAGTATCAGTGTCTAACCAGAATAAAGTTACTAAATTTCGTTTTTAACTTTGGTACTGTAATTAAATGCGAATGTTTATTCATGTTTACTAAAAGATTTTAGCTTAATCAATAAATAGATACTATTAGCGCCTAATGACAAGTTGTAGGCAAACACTGAGA